AATTCATGTTACTGTTTCATGCAGTAGCAGCATATTTGTATTACTATATAATATTCCATTTTATGCAGCTAATACAATTTATTTATCCATTTATTATTGATGAGCTTTTGGGTTCATTCCAGCCATTGACTTTTTTATAAATAATACTGCAATGAGTATTCTACTATCACTTATCTCCAGTGAGAATAGCTTTTATCAAAAAGTCCCAAAACAACAAATGTAGTTTATTTCACTTAGCTTAATGTCCTCAAGATTCATCTATGTTGGAGCATGTGTCAGAATGTCCCTGCCCTTTTAAGGCTAAAGAATACCCCATTGTATGCAACCACATTATGTTTATCCATTCAACATAAAGTAACTATAAGCTAAGACTGATTAAAGCTAATACGAATCATTATCAAATGAATAAATTCATTATGACCTTGATAAAGCTTTCAATCATCTTTAACAAAAAACAAATGACGGTTCTTAATACTGTTATGGACTGAACTGTTCCTCCCCACCACCCCACATATTCCTATGTTGAAGCCCTAATTCCCAATGTGACTGTATTAGGAAACAGGGCCTTTAAAGAGATAATTAAGGTTAAATGAGGTCATAAGGGTAAGTCCCCAATCCAATATGACTGGTGTCCTTATAAGATGAGGAAAAGACACTGGGGAGGTATGCATACCAAGAAAAGGCTATGTGATAGTGAGAAAGTGGCCATTTGGAAGCCAAGGAGAGTGGTCTCAGGAGAAACCAAACTTGCCAACACCTTAATCTAAGACTTCCAGCCTCCAGAACTGTGAGAAAATACATTTCCACTGGTTAAGCCACCACCTAGACTGTGGTATTTTGTGATGGCAGCTCTGGTAAACTAACACAAATACCACACAGGATTTTTCAAAATCCAAAGTAAAAGAAAGTTTATATACTTCTATTCTACAAGTTTTTACATTATACGCAGATGTGAAACTAAAGCCATTGCAAACAGACAAAACTGTGTAAAAATGCATAAATTAGAATTGTTGAAATAGAAAAACATGGTTATTCAAGTGCTAAAATGGCAATGCATTTTAAAGAGAAATAACAATGTGAAATTAACAGCATATGTGATATAAATACATTATTGCACAGAACACAACAAACTACTGGAATACATTAGTAAGATATTTGGTTTCAAAAGTTGGAATGCAAGGAAATACTTCTGAAAACAGGGTTGTATAATTATAAACAAGATACTAGAAACATTATATAAATATAGCCTAAAACTAAGAGACAATAATTTGAATTCACAAAATATAAAATTAGAAAATATAGTATAAGGTAATTAAATGAAGTAAGTATAGGATCAACCAATCAATTCAGGAAACATATATTCAGTTGTTTGTTTTAGAATGTACCATGGTGATTCAAAGCACCAGTAGAAAAATATAAAGAAAAATGCCCAAGTATAATAAGATATATAAACACAACCTAAAATTATTTTTATAGTTACACTGTACCCAACAATGATGTATGAAACCATCTCTCTAATATTTAATAAGAGATTAAATAAATAGGCATTTGGGTCTGAGAGACTCAATTTTCAAGTCTGGATTCTCCAGTATTCAGATCTTTACATTAGTCAGGATGTCTACATATAAAACATTTAATTCCCCACTGTATCATAAAAGCCTCTAGCAGTATTTGCTAGAATGCATACTGAGAAAGTGCAAACCAGTAGAAACATGTTAAAGCTCCTAACCTTTATTTAGGCCAATGGGTTTTATTAGGTGTTTAATATACTGTAGCATATATCTACATAGCTACATGCTATTGAAATAATGGAATTACAAGCCACCCGTAATTTTATTTTACCTGTAGCAGTTGGCCCCATACATGCAGGATGTCCTTTTGACCTGCTTTTCTTCAGAATCTTGTGGAACTGAATCAGTTGACTTTGCATGCAAAGTTTCAGACTTGGAGGGCTCACAGCTAGACTGAGGATGAAATCCTTGAGCCTTATCCTGGAATGACTTGCCTTGGGCACCCGAACAACTCTCAGAACAGCTCATTGCCTCATCTTCTTTATTTGGTACACCTTCAGTGATGGTTTTATGTTCGGAAACCTTGCCAAGTTCCTTTATTGGAATTTCATTTCTCTGTGTATTGGTCTTCGTATTATTCATTTCTGTGTTACTTAATGTAATTGAAGAAAATGATTGTGGTATTTCCTATAAAACAAACATGAAAAAAATCAGAAACAAATGAAACATTTTAAAAAAGAAATGTATAAATATGAATACAGAAACATGAAACTACAAGATCTATGTAAATTTTTAAAACAAAGATTCATATATTAAAGTTACTAAAAATACCACTCGTTTCTGTGTCTCTAGTAAATAACTACCAATTTTCAGTTATTAGAAAATAAATTTACTGTTGCATTAAACCTTTACTATAATGTCATTCAGTGAAAAATAAACAGAAAAATACAAAGGAACCATAAGAAGACATTCACTTTCATTTGAACATAATTTTTCCCCAAAATAACTCTTAAATGTCAGTGTTCAACACTGTTTCATGCTCTTAACATGTACTGCCCTTATAATTTCTTATTAGTTACTGCAATACTTTATTTCTACCCTCTAAATATGACTGTGATTTTCCACAGCTGAATAATAAAATTGTTCTGCCCTCACAGAAAAATTTGCACGAACTTATGAGCAACTCAGAAAAAAATAATATGATTCCTTTGAAATGGTCTGAATAAAACCTAACTCCAGTGAGAATGGCCTTTATCAAAAAGTCCCTAAACAACAAATGCTGGCGAGGATGTGGAGAGATAGGAACACTCTTACACTGCTTGTGGGACTGCAAATTAGTACAACCCCTGTGGAAAATAATTCAGAAATACCTCAAAGAGCTAAAAGTAGAAATATCATTTGATCCAGCAATCCCACTACTAGGCATCTATCCAAAGGAACAAAAGACATTCTATAATAAAGACATCTGCACTCAAATGTTTATGGCAGCACAATTCACTATTGCAAGGATGTGGAAACAACCCAAGTGCCCTTCAATCCGTGACTGGATTAATAAAATGTGGTATATGTACACTATGGAATACTACTCGATTACAAAAAACAATGGCGATCTAGCAGCTTTTATATTATCCTGTATAGAGCTTGAACCCATCCTTCAAAGCGAGGTATCACAAGAATAGAAAAACAAGCACCACATGTACTCACCATCAAATTGGTACTAACTGATCAACACTAAAGTGCTCACATGGTAGTAAAATTCATTGGGTGTTGGGCGGGTAGGGGTGGATAAACTCACAACTAATGGATGTAGTACGCATTGTGTGGGGGAAGGGCACACCTCTAGCCCTGGCTTGGGTGAGGCAAAGTCATTACTTGTAACCAAAATGTTTGAACCCCCATAATATCCTGAAATAAAAAAAAAAAGTCTCGGTTTAACCAAACTAAAGGTGTTTTGAATCAAGTAATTATTCTCATTAGCACTGCAGAACTTTTCTAATTTGTACTTACCACCAGCACAAAGAGTAAGCTTAGTCTTATCCTGTTCAAAATGACCTCTTAATACTTAATACTTCCTGTGGAGTAGAAACATTGCTCAGATAAACCCCAGTCCTCCCGGTACCCATTTCTAGGATTTGATGAAAATATACCAGATGCATATTAATGTTCACCCTCATTTACAACTAAGGACTCATGTATGCTGGCTGCCATCAGTTGGTTTTGATAATACTTAATATCTGATAGGTTAAATTTCTTAAGTAGGTATTATTGGCATGACTTTTTTTGAACTAATTACTTAAGTGTTTTGATATATTTTCTTTTTTTTTTAAGAAACATGGTATATAACTTTAAAATCCTAAACCAACTGACTAATGGCCTTGCAAAAGGAACCTAGGTCTTATTATGGTTCTTGCATAGTAACAGATAACCTATGGGAAAAGCAATCATTTGGCTATCTCTTGTAGCTGACCTTATGCTAGTGGCATTCATGCCATATCCTTCTAAAATATACACTCTTTGCTTCCAAGCTGCCCACCTACACCTCAATCTTATCCCTTCCACTACACGATCAACTGGCACATGTCAGCGACTGGAACCCTGGAGTGGGAATCTGGCAATCCTGACCCACCTCCTTACTTGGCAGTCCCCTACTACGTCAGCACTCCCTAATTTTCCTTGTTCAGGTAGCAATGGGATAGGACAGCAAATCCACTGGCTAAGAAGATGTCCAATAAAATGCTAGTGTCTTGCTCCTGTTGGCATTTCCAAACTTTACAAATAATTCTCTAAGAGCACCACTCTTCTCTTGATTTTAGAAAGGGAGGAAATAACTTCCCACAAACACTGCATTCCTCTAAATTTTAAAACCTTCTGTACGAAGTCTCGGAGTGAGATGGCAAACACTTCTCATATCTTTCAATAAGCCCTACAGGGAAAGGGTTGGTCCTCACTGCTGGGGTTCCTTTCAAATTTGGAATACTTAGTACTTTTATCCCCAGCTTTGGGCATCAGCAGCAGTTTTGGGAGAACAGGGAAATGATCCCACTCAATATCCTATCACATTTATTACATAAAAAAGGCCAGGCACAGTGTCTCATGACTGTAGTTCCAAGTGGTTTAGGTGGCTGAGGCAGGAGGATCACTTGAGGCAGGAGTTTAAGACCAGCCTAGGCAACAGGCAAGACCCTATCTCTACAAAAAATTAAAAAAATAAAAATCAGCCAGCCATGGTGGCATGTGCCTATAGTCCCAGCTACTCAGGAGGCTGAGATGGGAGAATTGTTTGAGTCCAGGACTTCAAGGTTACAGCGAGCTCTGATGGGACCACTGCACTCTAGCCTGAGTGACAAAGCAAGAGCCTGTCTCTAAAAAAGAAAAAAAGAGGCTGGGTGCAGTGGATTATACCTGTAATTCTAGCACTTTGGGAGGTCCAGGCAGGAGGATCACTTGAGGCCAGGAGTTTGAGAACAGCCTGAGCAACATAGTGAGACTTCGTCTCTACAAAAAATAGAAAAATTAGCTGGGTGTGGTGGTATACACCTGTAGTCCAAGCTACTCAGGAAGCGGAAGCAGGAGGATTGCTTGAGCCCAGGAGTTTGAGGTTGCTGTGAGCTACGATGATGCCACTGCACTCTACCCAGGGCAACAGAGCGAGACTCTTGTCTCCAAAAAAAAAAAAAAAAAAAAGGATACAACAACCAGGGAAGTGGTTAAATGTTCTTACTATGTAACACTGTGAGACACTGAAATACTAATTACATATATAAGGATGTTTTGAACTAAATAAGAATATACTATAATGTCATTTAATTTTAAAAAAATTCCTTCTATATCTATGTGTACATTTACTTGTGTAAATCCAAATGAAAAGGCTTAGAAGGATATAAACCAGAATATTAGTAAGGCAATAGAAGGATGAGGCAAAGCAAGGCTTTCAGTCTTTACTCCACATGTTTCTGAATATTCTATTTTTGACAATAATCATGTATTATTTTACCATTTTAAAAATAAAAAGACAAAAAATGAAATATAAGAAATGAAATGTAAAGCATAATATTTCAACTCCCTCTATTTCCATGAAGGTTTAGAAGAGGATTTGTTTCATTAGAAAAAATTTTAAATCCTCACAAGGAGTACATTTAATATGTTAATTTATTCTAAAAGAGAAAGGAATGTTAAAGTCACAGCTATCAATACTATGGATCAGTTGTTCTCAAATATATTTTAAGAGGCACGAATGCTAGAATTCTTAATGCCTTTTATGGAACTCCATGAAATATTGATATATAGTAGACCCTTGGCATTCAAGAATTTAACATTCATGGTTTCAATTATTTATAAATGATCCCAAAAAATCCATTACATGCAGTAATTTGTAAGTTTGCTGAGACATAAATTTGTACTGTGCCAATTACAAAGTTCATGAGCTACAGCAAGCCACTGAACTGGCGAGTGAGGGAACAGGAAAGATGGAAGGTGCTCTGTGCTTGGAAGAAGTAGAAGAGAGATGGAGAGCTCCATAATTCCTAAGAATCCCACACTGTTTATTTCTTAGATTAGATAAAAATGTGAAGGATTAAGTATGGAGGCCAGATCCCCTGCAATGTAAAAATACGTATTAGAGACCTCAGGGGCCTAAAATCAGGGAGCTGGTGGAAGGTGACCTTGGTGCTTGAAGGAGGTGGGAATTAAGGCTATAAAATAGCCCATTAACTTGCTCAACTAGCCCTTCTCCTGCCCCTCAACCATTTGAAGTTTTATAATATACTACAAGGAACAAGAAACAACTTCCACCTAATACAAGTTCAATGAAGTAATTTGTTTTTGTTTCCACACCGCTACTGGCAAGACTGTCTGTGCTGATAAATTACCTTAAAAATCCTGCATTAATGCCATTAGCACCCGCATGCTAAAAACTAGAAAATCCTAACTTCCACCCCCAACTGCATGCCTGAGCTTCAAACTCATATATTCAACACTAGCTAAAACATTTCTTCCTCAATATTCTATGCACCTAAAACTCAAAACATCAAAACTGAAATTCTGCCCTTGTATTCTCTACCATAGTTTCTGCCAACACAATTCATCCATTCATCCTAGCCAGTTATTTGGACGCCACTCCTTCTTTCCCTCTCTCCCCAAATTCAAGCAACAAGGATTACAATGTTGCTTACCAAATATTTTTACAATCCAATGCCTTCTTACCATCTTTAAAGTCACTGCCATAGCTCAGATGCTCTTTATCTCTTGACTGCATTAATGTCATAATCTCCTCCCTCATCTCCCCATCTTTCATCTTGTTCTCTTTCAGTCTCTCTTCCAAGGAGCTTCCAGGATTATCCCTGTGGCTGAAAACATTTCAAGTCTGTCCCTCTACAAACTGATCCCACTGCTGTCTTCACCCTTATCTCATACTACCACCTACCTGAGACCTGATAACTTGCTCTGACCAAAAGAATTCAGCAGTAATGGCACTATACCAGTTCCAGTCCTCCACCTTAAAAGATCTGGCAGCTTCTATTTTCACCCTCTTGGGATCCAGCTGTCAGGTAAATATGCTCAGTCTAGGCTACTTGATGGTAAGTGGAGGGAGGGAGGCCCAACCGACCCTCAGTCATTCCATCAACTTTTGCCGAGGCAACATTCAGGTGAATGAAGGCATCCCGAATGCTCCAGCCTCAGCAGAGCTCCCAGCTCAATGGATCCCAGCTGATACCAAACACATGTCATAAAAGAATTGCCCAACTGAGCCCAGCCAACCCAGGGAATTATAAGAAATAATAAATCAGGCCAGGTGTGGTAGCTCACACCTGTAATCTAGGAGGCTGAGGTGGGAGGATCCCTTGAGCTTAGGAGTTTGAGACCAGCCTAAGCAAGAGTGAGACCCTGTCTCTATTATAAATAGAAAAATTAGCCGGGCATGGTGGCACACGCCTGTTTTCCCAGCTACTCAGGAGGCTGAGGCGGAGGATCACTTGAGCCCAGATGTTTGAGGTTGCGGTGAGCTAGGCTGACACCAAGACACTCTAACCCGGGTGACAGAGTGAGACTCTGTCAAAAAAAAAAAAGGAAAAAATCATTGTTGTGTTAAACCTAAACCACTAAGTATCAGGGTAACTTGTTTCAGTTAGTTTCCTTCTGTCATTTACAGCAGCATTAATCTAGTCATGAGGGTGGCATCCTCATGACCTAAACAACTGGCCATTAGGCCTCATCCTCTCAATACTATTGCATTGGGGATTAAGTTTCAATATGAATTTTTGGAGGAGACAAAAACATTCAAATAATAGCAACCATACTGTTCATTAAATTAATCAATTTGAGTATCCTCATTTTTACTCCTAAATTAGACAGTTACAAAACTGGTAAGGAGTTACAGAAAGACATACAGGAACCGATGAAAAGAGCAAATGTCTTCATGACAAGTTCCTAGAGTCACAAAACTCTGATACACAGTCTGATATGTATGGTAGAAAAATCCATTGTACCCAAAATGAAAAGACCTATATTTGAGGCCAAGGTTTCTAGCAATGTGACCTTGGGATTCAGTCTCCTCTGAATGATGGTAGCTCTCAACTTTGAGGGCACATTAAAATTGAGGGAGTTTATTTAAGACACTACTGATACACAGGTCCCATAAACCAAATGAATCATAATCGCAGGAACCCCTGGGAGAAAGTGATTTCTGTCCTTTCTCTCCACTGCTATTCTTACTCGTCCCTAAAAGAATGTAATTTATTCTTCCCAAGTAAATTGACCCAAATCTACTCTAGAGGCCTGGACAAACTGCTTTCAGTTCTTTGTCATTGGCAACTTCCTGCCATGAGACTAGGTAGGTGAACCAGCCTCTTGTTTTCTTTCTCACCTGCTCTGCACTGTAGCCATCCCTTCAAGACCAGCTGTTCATCAGTGTCAGAACTGAAACTGGGCAGGGATGAAGGGTGGACTCTGCAAAGGCCCTGCTGGAGTTTTCAGTTTAAGACATGTTCTCTGGCCCTGCTGTATCAGAGAGCTCTGCATAAAGGATTATGAAACTTTGAGCCTCCTTCCTTCTGTGCTAGGAAAGGTAAATCTCCCACAGAAGCCCTAAAAGAAAAAAGAACAATTGGCCAAGTAGAGCTCAGGCATTCCTGGGACCTAGCTGTAATGCTTCCCTGATGTCATCAAAATCTCAGTAATACCTTGAATATCTTGAATCCACTGCTCCTCTCTACAACATATCAATTATAAAGATGTTTCTCAAAGTTTTCCTTGTGATTATCAAACTTTATGGGTTGGAATAAACAAAGTAAAACATGTATACTAGAGATTTTCTTCTGAACAAAATAAGTTCACTTCTTGAAAAAAAGGGAAAGTCAATTTATATGTTCATAGTTCAGAGAGTAGAGTGTATGAGGGCTCAAAATTTATATAAAACAAGTTTTATTTCAGTAAGTTTTTAATGGCCAATATACATAAGCCAGAAAACATTTTATTTTCACTTATTAAACTTGACTCCATAATTAAGCAAAAAAATTGAGTCTACAGTGACTAGACTGAACTTCTCTAGGTGAAATAAAGACTCCAGTGAGAAACTATTTAACCTCTCTCTCTAGGAGAGGAGGCAAGAGCAGGGAAGTATATAAAAGGATGGACCTTTAGGGGAGTTGCTAGCATTTCAATCATTTCAGTACACACTCTTCTAAGATCAAGCCTTTGGCTTTCCCTGAGACTAAATACAGGGACCCACAGAGCTCAGCCATTGGTCTACAAGGATCATGAAAACTGTCATCTTAAGCCAAAGCTCTCCAGAGAAGAAGAATGCCTATACTTTCTGCCCTGGGGCCATCTCTACCTTTCTCTTTTTAAATGCTTCCAATAAATAGTCTCTGTTTTCTTTAAGTACCCAGTGTTACACAATGCATAATTCAGCCAGACCATTCTAGTGAGTTAGCAAAAACTGAAAGAGGAAAGGTCTATAAATACTGTAAGTTAGCCCAGAAGTGATCCTGCAACAAACTATAAAGAACTACCCCATGATTTGTTTTTCTTTCCATACTTAGCAAAAAAAGGGAGTTACACACAGTCTGAGGATGGACAATGGAATAGGAGAAGCCAGATTTTCAGAATGGAGGTATCGCATTATGAGTCAAGTGGCCTCCACTTTTTTTTCCAGTCTGAAAATTTCTAAATGTAATGGCTTTGTTTTCTACAATGCAAATACTATATTAAAAATTAGTTTCCGCAAGTCAAGAAAAATTGGGGCTAGTTATCATCTTCATAGGCTCAATAATAAAAAACAGTTTTGGTTTCTCCTTGCTATATACCACATACAATTAATTTCTAATTAGAACACCTGACGAAGAAAATAAACAATCAAATAGTGAATTTTTAAAAATCACCTTGGATGAAATGACAGATGCTTCCTGATTAGCATTTTTGGAGTTTTTTCCTGTGTCTTGTTCTGCTGACGCACTTTCTGAACTTCCAGATGAAATTAGTCGCTTTCTTCCTTGCTGTATTATATTTACTTTGGTTTTATCTTCGCAAATTCTTTCTTTTCCACTTCCCTGGATTACATTATTATCTTAAACACACACAAACAAACACATACACGTAAAGAAAAAGAAGAAGAAAATTATCTTCTGTATGTTCAAATGTCAATAATCCATACCCATCCCCCCCAAAAAAGGGGAAAAAAAAAGATAAAAGGGTAAGTAAATTAAAGTTCCATTTATAGTAATTCCAACTTGACAACACTTATTTTCAAATCTCAGAAAGTATTAAACAGCATAATGGCCAAGAGCTCCAGCCCTGGAGTCTGCCTGGCCAAGATGCTAATGTGGGTTCCATGCCTTAACTGTTTCACCTCACCTTTCTCAACTTCAGCTTTACCATTTGGAAAACAGGAATTACAATAACTCATGGAGTTAGTAGGAAAAGTAAATGAAGTAAGACATGTTAGCAAAGTACCTTATACATGTTAGTTAAATATTTTTTATTATAACATTGAATTTCTCTAACAGAGAATCTCACGCATAGCTATCCAATCAACTTTACATACACTTATTGAGCCCCTAACGTCCACAGTGAGGAATTCAAATTAAGTTATCTTAAATACAGAAAAGAGCTTAAAAGAACCCAAAAGGGAGAGTGACCTCTACAGACTTTGTCAATGAAGAACATAAGTCTCAATAACAATGGACACTGTATCCCATATAATACTCAAAGTTTAATATACACTTAGCAAATCTAAGTCAGTATCATATTTTGTTAAATTCATGAATCATTTAATCAGAAAAGAAAAAAGATCTACTTGTTTTAAGAGGAACATATTCATGGCTAACTGTCCTTCTCCTCTACTTTAAAATGATAGCTTCATGAAGGCAGAAACTTCATGTGCCTTGTTCACTGTAGCCTTTGTGTCTCCAGCACCTGCAACTGTGTCTAGCACAAAACTGGTGCTCAATGAAGACTTCTGACTAAATGAATTGTGAACATAAACAAAATTTGTCCAAAGAGTCCCTTAAGAGCCAGGACAGAGGTAAGTAAGGCAATCTGTAGTCATTATTCTAATGTTCTAAAGCAGGGGTTAGCAAATTTTTTTCTGTAAAAAGCCAGAGAGTAAATAGCTTAAGCTCTGTGGGCCATATAGTATCTGTCACAACTACCCAACTCTGCCTCTGTAGCATGAAAACAACCATAGACAATACATACATGGATGACCATGGCCGTGTTCCAATAAAACTTTATTTACAAAAATTTGGCCCATAGGCTGTAGTTTGCTTAGTCCAGTTCTAACGGGCATTCGAAGTAGCCTGAAATAATATTCCTTGTTTAAGTTTAGAAAAGAAATGTCTATAGAATACTGTCCATATTATCAAACAGCAATATCAATTGAATCAATATAAAAATAATGTATTTATCAAAGGAAACTTATGAATAAACTATTCTAATAACTAAACTTGGCCTAAATTATTTAAATATTCATCATGAATGTAAATTAGGAAGCATTTCATATCATTTTTAGAAACTATCAAAAATAGTACTTAATAGGACTTGGTACAACAAATGACCAAATACTACAAGTTATGAATTAATCAAACCAAGTGACATAATGAACTAATGTATTGCTTACTGTGCTAAGAACTATGAAATGTAAATTAAATAAGACACAGGTTCTGCTCAAATTGTAGTTTATCACAAGTCAATTCTTCAAAATTCCAAATTCTCTACCACAAACATTTCCTCTAGGCAGCAGAGGTGATTTCTATTTGCTTGGGAAAAAGCCACTTTGATGTTATTAAAATGGCCTTCACAAAGAGTATATAAAATAAGTAGCTTAATTGGCTCACAACAATCTTCATATCTGGTATAGCCAATATTTTACTAAATCCAGGATAGGTACAGTTAAAGAACAGAAATTAAAAGAAATTAACTATTAATACGAATTAGTTTTTATTTAACTATTACTAATGGCACTTACATGAACTGTTATACTAATACTATATGAATCATGCTCAATTATATGCATATATATCATTAAAAATACATCCATCCAATCTTATCCTCCAGAGAAACCATTCCTAACAGCTATATTAACAATTTAATGTGTCTCCTTCTCAACTTTTTCCTAAGCAAATATATTTACAAATAAATATATGTAAACACATACAGGACTAAACATACAAATGCTATTACTTCTGTGGAATAAATATCTAGAATTATAATTTCTGGATCAAAGTGTGTTGTATAACTTATGTGGACACCTAGTAGTAACATTCACTGGGTGTCAGGCAGGTGGGAAGGGGGGACAAGGGGATGGGTATATTCGCAGCTAATGGGTGTGGTGCACACC